AGGGGAAGGGAAAGGAGTTTGTAAGCCGCTCTGAGACTCCCTTGGGTAGTGAAGGGCGGGGTGTAAATCCTATCTTTTCTTCTTCTTCTTGTGTGGTGGGCTAGTTGTGGCAAATGGTAGGGAAGCTCAGTATTTCTGTATAAAGTTGTAGGGGCTTTATTGCAATGTGGTATGGCCTGATATTATGTTCTTATTCCAGTGTGGGGTGTGTGTGGGGCTTTCTAAGTTTCTAAGCAGTGTTCTAAGAAGGCAACTGTTCCTGGGGTTAGCCCAGCCCAGGGACATTGCTAGGGCGGTTCCCAGGCCTCCCTAAATTTCTGGGGAGCCCATCCCTAAATCCCACATGGGTCCACCTCCATAGATAATGACCATGCCTGTGATGTCACTAGCTCCTCCCTATGATGTCATTGGGTCCCAGTTCTTTTAATGACTTAGCAATGCCTCTGGCCCAGCCCCAGCCCCCCCCCCCCCGGAAAATTGGAAAGTCTACGCCCTTGGGAAGGATGTCAATAAGCTGGAAGGAGTCCACCTCAGGGCAGTGAAGCTGGTGAGGGGTTTGGAGACCATGTCCTATGAAGAGAGAGCGAAGGAGCTGGGAATCCCTGCATTGGTGATTTGATTGTTAGGTGATTCGATTGCCACCTTCCAGTATCTAAAGGGATGTCATGTGGAGGATGGGATGGATACATTTTCAGTTGTGTTGGATGACAGGACCCAGATGAATGGATATAAACTCCATCAAAGGAGATTTCTTCTAAATTTGACAAGGGGCTTCCTGATGGTGAGGTGTGTTTGACACTGGAACGGTCTCACTCATGAGCTGGTGCATTCTATCAATTGGATACCTACTTGATGGGGATAGTGTAACTGTTGTTCTTGTGTTAGCAGGGAGTTGGACTACATGACTGTGGGTGTTCCTTCCAACTCTGAGATGAAATAAATAAAATGTTGGGGACCTGGGGTGCAGTCATAAGGAGGGCATTGCTACTGGATGGAGAAAGGGCTTCTCTATTATAAGTTGTTTAATGATATCAGACTGTAATATTTAAATAAGGGGAGAAGGGCAAGTTTTAAGTTGGCTGATTGACTGGGAACTTTCTGACATTCAAAAAGCTATTATTATATATTTTATACCTCTATATTATATGATTTCTCGCTGTGTTATAAATAAGTCAAGTTCCATTTTTCATGTATACTACTATAAACTCCTATTTTGTATTCCTGTTTTGCAACGAACCCCGCTCCTGAGGCTACTGTGAAGCTATCATAGTCACAGACATCACTGAGAGGGAGTCTTTTACTCTGTTCTGAACAGGAGCCGTCTGGCTGATGAACAAGGATGTGGCATGTCAGCCATCCTGAAGGTTCAAAATGGTTCTGGACTTGTCCTGTGGCCAGTTCACAGGAGGAACAAGAGAGAAATTGCTAGTTATACTACCAATCAACAGTTTAGCCAAATTTGCTTATTCATTTTTTATTCCACCTTTCCTTCCAAGAATAGTGTACATTCATTAATATTATATTTAAGAAGCCTGAGAGGTCAGTTAGGCTGAGAGAGAATGACTGGGCCAAGGTCATCCAGTGACCTTCGTGGCAGAGCAAGGATTTGAACCCAGGTCTCTGTGTTTTTAATCCAACCATAATGATGGGGGAATTCTTCATCTGTTCAGTTTCTCTGTGTCAGAATTCCGTTCAGGGCACAGGAGCAGGGTCCAGAGAAAAAGTTGG